AAAAAAACAAAAAAAACTAGGCACCACCCATGTTACCAAACCTGATGCCTTCTGCCACAGATTCAGAAAAATCGTAAAAAGAGAAGAAGGCTCAACGCATAGGGCAGCCCACTCAGAACTAAAGTTAATTTCTTTTGGTTTGGTCAGTTATGTTACTTAGAGGTTCCCAGGTTTTCCCCATTTTAAAACTAATTCATGTAATGAAAACACAACATGACAAAATTTATGAGATGCATCTAAAGCAGTAAGAAAAGGAAAAGTCACAGCCTAAAATACTGTCTCAGTAAAAATGAAAACAAATGAATTCAATTCCCAATTCAAAAAGGAAAAACTCCAACAAAGTAAAACAAAGTAAGTCATGAGAAAAGAAATAATAAAGATAAAATCAGAAATTAGTGAAACAGAATAGGAAGGCTATTGACCTATGGAGTTTGAAAAATTGACAAAATAGACAAACCACTAACTAACTGAGTCAATGAAAAAAGTGAGGAAATCCAAATATAAAATGAAGAAATTACAATGGGAAGATAACTATGAAAAAAGTGGAAATTTTAAAAATTCATGAGATTACTTTGCAAATCAATCTAAAAATGATAGTGAAATAGATAAATACAGTTTACTAAAATGACCTCATCGGAGATAGAAAGCTTCAACAGAGCAATTTTTTATAGAGAAATAGAGAAGATTGTCAAGAAATTTCCCACCATTCAAATTAGCACCAGACCTAAAGAGTTTCACAGGGGGTACAAACCTTCAAAGGCTAGATAGTTTTAGTGCTGCATAAATTCCTTCAGGCATAGAAAATAAAGGTAAACTTCCAAATTATTTTTATGAAGCAAATATAACATTGTTACTTAAACAAATATCACTTACCAATACTGGTGCAAAAAATCCTAAAATAAATGTTAGCAAACAGAATCAACATTGTATTGAGAAAATAGTTCAATATGACTAAGGGGATTTATTTCAGGAATGCAAGGTTGGTTCAATATTATAATAAAATATACCATATTAAGTGATCTAACAATAATCATATGATTATTTATTTCCATTGATGCTGAAAAACTCTTTAATAAAATCCAGCACTTATTTCTAATAAAAAACACTCATGAAAATAGAAATTGATGGATATTTCCTTATCATGATAAAATATATAAACCTTAGTCCAAAGCCAGCATCTACTATATGAAGAATCACTAGAGGCATTCCCACTAGGATCAAAACAAGAAAAGGATGCCTATTATCTCTACCCTTACTTATTATTGTACTAGAGGTAAGAGTCAGTGCAATTAGACAAGAGAAATCAATTAGAGTCATAAGAATTGGAAAACAGAAAGTAAAATTATTTGCAGATGATGTAATAGTACACCTGAAAAACCTGAAAGAACTAATGCTCAAATTAACTCAAAGAAGAAAAGAATTAAGCTAGCAAAACAAAAAATAACAGAGAGAAACCAACAGTTTGCACACACACACACATATACAGTCAAAAGGTATAAGACTAGATAAAACTCCATTATAACAGCATTAAGGAAGAGGAAATGCTTAGAAATCTGCCTAATAAGAAATGTGCAGAACTTATATAGGAAACACTTTAAAATGTGCCTGAATGATACATAAGTAGACATGAACAAATACAAAGACATCCCTTGTTCTTGGGTAGAATGACTGTACATGATAAAGATGTCAGTCTTCCAGAAGTTTATAAATAACGCGATCCTCCAAAAAATACCACCAAACTTCTTATGGAGCTAGACAAGTTGATACTAAAATTCATGTGGAAAAATAAATATGCAAAAATGTCTAGAAAACCTGATACCCTAGGGAGATAAAAAACCATGAGGGGAGTCGAGTCCTACCAGCTATTAAATCATGCTATGAAATCTCTATAATTAAGACAATGAGGCACTGGAATTTGAATAAACAAAAAGACAAATGGAAGAGAACAGAAATCCAGAAATCCACTCAAGTATATATAGAAGTGTAGTACATGATGAAAGTGTTCTCTCAGATCACTGGAGCACAGATAGACTCTTTAATAAAACGGTGCTGGGCAACTAGGTAGCCATTTGAAAAAAAGATAACATTAGATCCTTACCTCACACCTTCCACACAAACAAACCCCAGATTTTAAAGAAACAAACATAAATACCAGAAGAACACACACAAGAATTCAAGAATTCCTCCATAAACTGTACAAAAAAGAGTACAATAAAATAAAAGATGGATAAACTGCCCTAGGCAAAAACTTGAAAATATCTGCATGGTAAAAAATCATTGATAATTCATTTAACAACATATGTGTATAATAGGATGACTATATCGTTCTTCCAAAAAGTGTTGGCTTAGCTTGAGTGCAAAAGTGACGTCATCTTACTTAAATTAGCCACTGATAAAGTTTCATTTAAAAACAGCATGGTGGAGGGAGAGAAAGCTCCCCGTGGGGAGAGTTTTCTCCACGTTAGTACTGGCTCCAGCTTTACCTTCTTCAGTTTCTTGTGGGCCCCACTGTGGTTCCCCTGAGCCAGGTCGGCCCCACCCAACAGCCGGTAGGTCTCCGCCACCTCGGGACTGAGATCACCAAACATGTCCACTTTGGCTTCCAGGGACTCTCTCAGGATTGAGGATGCTCTCTGTGAAAGGAACAAAGGTTAAAGTTTGGTTAGAAACTTCAAAGGCTGATAAAGATCAACGCCCCTTAAGGCTGGGTGGCTCAGTCGGTTAAGCGTCCCACTCTTGGATTCGACTTGGATGTTCTCTCCCTCTGCCCCTTCCCCGACATGTGCGCACGCACTCTCTCTCTCTCTCTCAAAAAAGAAAATGATGTAACTGATGTGTATTTTCACTTTTCAGGGATTGGGTTTGGGTAGTGTCTCATGAACTGAGTCTACTTTTCTCTTTAAACAGGACACGGGAAATAGCATATACGGGGGCAGGGAGGTGTTAACCATGGAGACAGAATGCATGAAGGACACCTGGAGAACGAAGCCACCTCAGGTATTACAGGAATTCATTTTAGCTGAGTAGTAAGAACAGAAGCTAACATGTATCGCATCCTTTAGGTGCCAAGAACTGCGCTGAACAGTGTACCTGCCTGAGCTCATTTAATTCTGTCTCCTTTAGATAAGTACAGTGTTAATCCTCACTGTCCAGAGGAGGAAACTGAGGCACAGAGCAGTCGGAAACTCACTCAGGATCAGACAGTTCCCCAGTGTTTGACCTAGGATCTGAATTTGGCCCATAATTTTAATCCTTTTCAGTTGCAGGCTCTTTTTTCTTCTGCGCACAGTGACGTTCTTACGTAAGTGAAAATTAGAGTTTCCTGGCAATTTATGTACTTACAAAACATCCAGAATATATTCCAGGCGTTTCTATTTCTCATAAGAAATAGTTTAGGAAACCAAAAGCAAACATTCTAACATGGCAAAAAAAAATTAAATATATTTGACATTTTGTGTGGTTTATCGGATTTATTTACACCAATGTGGAGTAAAAAACATGAGTTGGTCAGAAACCAGGATCTTCTGACATTAATCTCTTCAGTCAGACCCCAAGACGTACAGAGGGAAAGTCCTGCCTGTCCATCCCCCACATTTCTTCTGAACTTCTTCCATGGCCTTGTGCTTTCATGAAAGCATGACTATGGCAATGGAATACAAATGCTGAATTTGAGAGCCAAATAAGGCTGGAACCCGTTAAAGGGCTTCCCCCACCAAACAGTCCTGAAGGCATCCTGATAAGCGCTCCACGGGCAGAAGGAGCTGACAAAGCTTTACTCAGTTTATGGGCAATAATATGAGTTAAGTGCTAGGGGTGGGGTGTGGAACAGCGAAGGCATTGATAAGGCAGAAACAATTTCTTTGTGGAAAGATGAAACACCCTAGGAGCAGAGAAACTGTAAATTGTGAAGTGTGTGACCCACCTTGGTGCATGGGGAACCTGCCTGATACTGAAGCCCAACCCCCAGCATCTGTGAGCAAGGATTTGGCAAGGTGCAGGTGCTGGGCTTGGCAACTTGTCCATGGAAACTGGTCGTCAGGTTTTGAAGAGCCGATGATGGAAAGAAGAGCCGACTCTTTTTGCTAAATGAGGCTTTCAATGCCATTTCTAGCCTGGTGGGGGATACTAGAGAGAGATGTGCATGAACTTGAATGGCAGGTGGAGATGGCAATGGAAGAGATGTCACATGGGTGGAAACAGAGATGGCGTCAGTCTGTGAGAAGTAGAACAGTGTAACGGACAGGAATGAAGGAAAAATAGGACCCGGGTGGGCTGAGGAGAGGGTGCGTGGGAAACTGGGAGCCCAGGGGTGAGGTGGGAGAAGGGCAGGGCCAGTCGGTGGGCTCATCTGACTGCAGCAGAGAGAGTAGGAAGGGGAGCAGGGGGGAGATGAGGCAGGAGTTGCAGGCAGGGCTGGTGGTTGGTGGAGGGCCTTCATGCCAGGCTCGGGAGTTTGGATGGGGAATAAGAAGCTGGAGAAGGTTCTTGAACAGAAAACTAGAAGAGAAGCCCCACACAAGTGTCTTAATCTGTGGCAGAGTGACCTTCACTTACATTTTACCTTAAAAGTCATTGTCCTTCCCAAAGATCACCTTCCTGCTAGCACAGGGCTCTAGCCCATGTAGGGGCAATGACCGCATCTGGGGTGGTCTGAGCACAGAGCCCTGCTCATGCCTGGGACTGTCCTCGGGCCCAGCCTTGTTGGCCACCTGCGAGAACCCACAGGGAGAGGGCTGCAGCCAGGGTGAGCACTGTGCAAGGCTGCCACGTCTGGTTGGGTGGGTTGTGTCACGCACAAGGACAGGAGAGCGAGGACAGCTGAAATCCAGCCTGTGTGCCGCTCTGTAAGCAATGTGCTCTGGCACGAGGGGCATCCACCTGAGGAAGAGGCAGCTTTTTCTATTCTTACCAGGGCACCAGAAGGGCTGGCAGGGGACAGAACGAAAAGAGCCAGTTTGCTAAAATCTCTGAGGGAGGTAAAGGGGAGCAAGGTATATCTCTAGTTCAATACCACTGATTTGGGTGACTAAGGCAAGGGAGGTGAAGTGTGGCATCAATGACAGATACCAGGGCAGGAAGCCAGACAAAAACGGGGGAGAGGGCGGATGCCCTGTGGTAGCCAGAGTAGTCAGGCAACCCACAGCCAAGCATCCACCCACCCATCTGCTCATGGCTCCCCACCGGGAGCAAGAGGGTCCCTGCTCTCACGGAATTCGGTCCAGTCAGGGGAGAGATGGTACACATCCACACATAACTTACTATTCTTATTATATTGTTACGTTATTCCTATACCGTGCTTATCATATTTTTTAATGAGAGAGCGAGCGAGTGCATGTGTGGGAGGGGTAGAAGGAGAAGGAGAGAGAGTCCCAAGCAGACTCTGCGCCCAGCATGGAGCCCAACTTGGGGCTCGAACTCATGACCCCAAGATCATGACCTGACCCGAACCAAGAGTTGGATGCTCAAGCCACTGTGCCACCCAAGCGCCCCTTATCCTATTATTATGTCAAAAAGGATTCTATACAATAATGGGAAGAATCTAATGAAGACTGGGGAAAGGAATTAGGCAAGCTGATGAGTCCTCAAAGATGGATCTGCATTCGCCAGGTGATCAGTGAGGAAGAGCCTTCCAAGAGCAGGAAATGAAAGCTGACACTTCCTGAAAGTGAGGATTAGAAAAGGCCAATGTGGCCAGAACAGATTGGGGGGTGGGGGGGAATAAGACCGGAAATGTCAGCAGAATCCAGATTGCGTTGAAGGTATTGTGAGACATACAGGATTCTGATTTATTTTAAGGGCACTGAGAAGCCATTGGAGTAATTTGAAAATGGGGGTTCACTGACCAGATCTGCATTTTGAAAAGATCACCATCACTTCCTTATTCAGAATGGATGAGGAAAAGGCAAGAGTGGAAAAGGCAGCTGGGGGACCAGAGTCTGTTCGAGTGGTCCAGGCAGGAGGTGATGACTAGCAGAGGTGGACATGATAACCAGTACATTCTGGAGGTAAAAGTGACTGCTGAGCTGGAAGGTGTAAGGCATGATGTGGGCAGACTCCTCTTCTCCCCCTCCAGACTTCTGACCTGAGCGCTCTCCATAGAACTTCTCCAGATATTCTAGAAGCTGAGGCCCCTGGAAGGCCCCTCTCTACTTAGTTGGGTGATCCAAAAAAATATGGAAACTCCATTTGTTATGGTTACTGCAGTCCTACTTTGGCCTGATGAACATGGGTGCATCTAGATTAAAAACTCACGTTCCTTAAGCTCATATCAATTGAGAGAAGGGTGAGGGGTTAAGGGCTAGGGCAAAGCTGTAGGGGAGGTCTACAGAACAGCAGAGGAAATACAAGCTTTTCATCTCAAGGATTTGCCTTGATAGGTTAAAGTTGAAAAAAAAATCTATATAAATTAAGCCACAGCAAGTGGCTTTCTGGTAACTGTTAGGCTTTGCATGGAATAAGTTCCCAAGGGTTTAATTGCCAGTGAATGTAAACTCTGGGTCTTGTTCCATTTTTACAAACCATAAGAAAAGCATGCTTGTCTGGTTCAATGGACCTTGAGCTGTAATTTCTGTGCTGTGTAGCTCTCATTAGATATGTAAATTCCTTCCATAACCCAAAATAAGGAGAGAGGAATCAGGCCCGTTAACTGCCACCCTCAATCCTAGCCAGAACCACAGGCTGTGAGAAGCAGGGTTTGCCCACTGGGTTTTCAAGGTTTCTAGCCCTTTAGAATCCCTTGTGGGCAGTGGGGGGCCATGTCATCTACATTCTTATAAATAGTTTTCATTTCCCAAGACTGAGTATCTGGGAGCTGCCTAAGAGAGGCCACCTGGGTTTATTTATCCCTATCCCTATGGGAGCCTGGTACATGCCTGAGGCTTAATGGATGCTTGCAGGGTGAAGGAGTAGCACTTCGGATATTAACTCATGTAAACAGTCAACTCTGGGCCAAACTCACTTACCTCTTTTTGTCCAGTGACTTGTAGAAAATGGCAATAATCATCTTGAATTGAAAGAAATTTGGCTTTTCCCGTCCCTTCAGCATCCTTAAGATTAGCCATGCTCTCTTGAAAATACTTCTCGGCCACATCTGAAGAAAAGCATCAAAACAACATTTGAAGATCGCTTGCAGAGTTGAAATGGAAGCAGGATAAATATGCTTTTAGCGGTGGTGAACTATTTGAAAATAGTATTTAGACAAGAGGACCTAGTTAATGTGCCTGTTTTTCAGAAAAGATTTAGGTCTCAGAGGGATACGACAATTTCCTTTCCTTGGTTTTCATACATTTTAGCTCTCCCAGCAATACGGTAAGCAAAGCTAATGCAAATGGGGAAAATATTCCCAGACCTGAACACACTGGTAACGTTTTCAGGTTGATTAACCATTAATTCTTCCTATAACTGTGGTTGCTGCCCACTGAGGGTATGGCTTCAAGGATCCACTTACTTTAATGGACTCTGTTATCTTAGAACCTAGTTTTACAACATTAAAATTTGGGAAAATATGGCTGACATGCCACTGAAGGAAGAAACCCGACCATTCCAAACACATAAACATACTGGTCATAATATAATGGACATATTTTTAAAGGTATGCCAACCTTGAAAGCACGAAAAGGAAAACCTCAGGTATAGAAAATGAAGAAGGAACTAGAAGCTGGAGCATGGTCCATGAGGGTATTAGAAAACAGGTATATTCTATAAGGATGGGGACTAGAGATGAGGCCTGAGGACTGGGTGTGGTAAGAAGATGGAATAGAACAACAAGCCAGTGTGGTAGGCAACGTTCTAGGATGGCACCATATGCCCCTCACCTTTGTCTAATCCCTCCCCTGTGATGATGGGTGGAATTTGCCGATATGATGAGATATTACTCCTGTGATGAGGTTTTGTGATATAACATGGTTGAATTTAAGAAAGTGAGATTATCCCTTGGGCTTAACCAATTCACCTGAGCCCTTTAAAAGCCGAGTTTTCTCCAGTCGGTAGCAAAAAAGGCAGCCAGAGAGATTCAAAGCATAAGAGGGATTTGACAAGGAGGTTCTCCATTGGTGAGATGGAAGGAACCATGGTGTAAGGACCCAAGAGTGGCCCGTAGATGCCGAGAGAGGTCCCTGGCCAATAGCCAGCAAACAAATGGGGATTTCAGTCCTACAACCGAAAGGAAGTGAATTCTGCTAATAATAGGAACGAATTGGGAAAAGGACCCCATGCTCCAGAGGAGAATGTAGCTGGCCGACGGTTTGCTTTTAGGCTGACAGCTTGATTTCAGCCTGAGCTCGATTTAAGCCAGCCTTACAGGGCTAGACTTCTGACCTACAGAACCGAGTTAATAAACGGGTTTAAGCAATCATCATTGGTTATGCAGCAGAAGAAAACTAACAGTCGGGAATCCCTACAATGGAGATAAAAGCAATTGTATTGGTCTGAGGTGAGGCCCCATGGTTGTCCCACCAGAGGCCATCCATGGCTAGAAAAATAGCATCTAAAACGGGGACACCATATATGGGGCAGGCACACATGTGAAGTCTGAATCTACAACAACTACTTGGTTTGGAAATTCTGAACCGAGAAATTAACTAGGAAGGAGTCTGAAACTGGAGAAATCACAGGGCTCCAGCATAGGGGTCAGCAAAGTTCTTCTGCGAAGGACCAGATGGTAAATATTTTAGGCTTTGGAGGGCACATGGGCTCTGTCTCAGCTATTCAACTCTGCTGTTGAGGCACAAAAGCTTCCATAAATGAATGGTAACACACAAATGAATGAGCGTGGCTGCATACAGTGGCCAACTGGACATTTCCTCTTGGAAATCTCACGTGCATCATGTAGCGCAAATACATATGAGCAAAAAGATAAAACATAATCTTCTGCTTCTTTCATTTCCTCTGCATTGGCTTATTTCCCCTTTATCACCTCCAATTTTGTATTTGTGCATCCTTGCTATTTTCTTGATTAGACCAGCTAGTATTTTCTCTATTTTAATACCTTTTCCAAAGAATCACCCCTTGAATTCATTTTTCTCATACTGTGATGTGAGTGCCAGGTGCTTCCAAAGAGGCCCGTATGAAAACAGCATTCCAGAAGTCACAGAGGAACAGAAATTGGGTCAGCCTATGCAGAGAGGGTGGTTGTTCCTGAGGCTGCACTCGGGAGATTGCCCGGGTTCGGGCTCTGGCTCTGCTGCCTAGTTCTAGCTGTGTAAGGACTAGATCTCAAAGCCCTCATCTGACCTCAAAGCCCTCATCTGAAAAGGGGGAACATAACACTAGCGCCTTCTTTATAGGGTTGTTGTCAGGAGTAAATGGGTTCATGCATATAAACAACTGAGGACATGCCTAACACCTAGTCTGTGCTCAATAAATGGTTATCATTTGAATTCAGGGACAGCTTTGAGGATTGTGGTTATGGACCTCTCTCGCCCATGCAAGGCTGACCAGGAGGGACATAGGAAGCAGAGGTGGACATTGAGACATTAACAGGATGGAAGCACTATGAAAAGAAGAGTGGTCAAAAGGCACAGAAGACTGGGCTCATCTGCACCTCAGGCACACCTCGAGAGTTTTGAGAGCATCTGAAACTCACCCTGAGCATGCTGGGTCTCAAGAAATGATTCAAGTATACTCCATGTGACCTGTTTTAGAAAGGAGACACCTGAACAGTGTGTCTATCGAATCTAGTCAATCAAGAGAAAAGTTAGGTCTGAGAACAAGTAAGTTTCATTTCTCTGCAAGATTTACTTTGCTTGGAACCTAGGCCGTTGCTGGAAAGAAGCAGGAATTCTGCTGTGAGGTGAAGTCTTCTGGAGAGGTCTCAGTGCCCACTGCCCCCCGAGTTTGTAGCGAGACAGAAGTTGATTGAATGGGAGTCCCCTGCTCCTTTCTTTCAATGGGGGTCTGTTCACTGCTAGACCAGCAGGTGGACTTCTAGGTTATTTACTCAGAATTTTCTCGTGGTAGGAGAAAATTCTGCCAAGTAGAAAATGTCTTTACTTGTAGCGGACTCACGGGAGAAAGCATTACAGATTTAATGCGCAAACTAAGTATCAATTTTGGCTACTTTGATAATCTCATGACAGCAAACGTGGGGATGATGTGGCATTTATTTTGTTGATTTTATAAGCATTACAGAGATGAACATTCCAGGTCTAAAAATTAACAAGGATATTCAGGAGTGGAGTACTCTTGCTATTTTAATTTTCTGTCTAATTGGGAATTAACCAAAGAATGCAACTGAGCCCTTCTTTAAGACTAGAGATCTTTCATGAGTCTCAGCCTTGTTCCCCTGAGATGAGCCCTTACCATAAAGACTGGCAGATGTCAAGCGTGTAGGAAGGAACTGGGGCTGGACAAGCAGGGACTGAGTTTCCAGACCCTCGGCTTTGGCAGAAGTGGTGCCCTACTCAGATAGAGGAGGAGGCAAAAGGGATGGGAAGCATTTCCCTCGCCTTCCTGAGTAAGGAGCTGGTCTCTCAGACACAGGAGGACACAGCTGCACTCGATACCCTTCTAGCCCCATGTCCTGCTACCTCTTGGTATCCCTTCCCCCAGCAGTCACATGCTGACCAGCTGCAGGTCCCCTAGACCCGAGTGCCACCTACTCCTTTCCCTTAGCGTAGCTGATCTCACAAAGATGCTAGGAGAGAGGGAGCTGCTTGGCCTAACTCAAACCAGTGCATAAATGGCTCAATCTCTAACGCAGGGAGGCCTATTCATACTTTCCAAAGAGGATGCTTGTTAGCACACATGGATTTCTGGAAGAGCGAGTGAGAGTGAGGGAAGAAGGAAGGGAGGGGAAGGGAGGAAGGGATTTATTACTGACACAAAGGCAGCAGGGTTACTGAAGTGAACACAAACCAGGGGTGGTGGTGGACGTCGGAGATGGGCCCTGCCCCGGAGTCTGCCCTCTGAAGGTGCTGCCTGCAAGGTCGCTGGTCAGATGGGGTGAGGGTGGGGGAGGGGTTCTCTGACGGTTGTTGGCCCATGTAAGTTGGCCACATGTCAGGCATCCTGTCAGGGCCCTTGTAGATCAGAAGAGCCTTGAGTCTGGGAACCGAGGAAGGTATTGGGCATCCACTGTGGGTGCCTTCCCTGTCTCTAAATTTGAAACTACTTTTATCTTTACCTGGGATACAGGAAAACTCCTTTACTGTAAGACCCTGATGTACTTCCCTCACCTAACCCCCAAATCAGGTTTCTGAACTGGGAGCCACATGATCTGTCTTCACGGGGAGAGCAAATCTGTCCTGTTACTACAGCTAAGGAGTGACTCCCTGATGAGCAGTTTGTTCTTCTGGGGGTGGGCACCCCCCTGGAGGTCCATGGTGGACAAATGATTTCCAGAGAGATGGAAGGTCAAGCAGGGTGAGGAGATGCCACGCCCCAGCACGGACCTGGTGCCCTGAAGCCGGGTGTGGGTTCACACAGAGCCAGCCGTTTCAGTGAGCTCACAATGGCCACCCCCAACTTTGAAAACCGCTTCTAGAATCATCTGCAACCTGATGCCTGTGGCCTTGGCAGAAGATGAGGTCATTTTCTAAAGCTCAGAAGCATGACTTAGCTTGTGAATCTGAGCCCCGGTGGCACAGGTGTCCCAAGGCCATGGGTCCCCTCCCGTTTCCACTGCAACACAGTGCTGAGGCTGTCTGTGAGTGAGCGCGAGGGCCAAGTGTGGCCCAGTGGGCAGGGGGGCTTAATGTCTCCTGGAGGTCCTGCCGGACTCTGTTTGGTTCTATGTTCATATACAGGCAAAAACAACAGCAACAACAAAAACAAAAACAGGCTTCGTTCAAAGAGCAAGAGGAATGCGGGGTTACACATTGACATGCTGGAGGTTAAGAGGCTTTTAATTAAAACAAGTTCCAGTAACTCTGGGCTCATTTTCCTGAGGCCCAAAGTCCTAAGGCAAGAGCTGAACAGTGAGGGCAGCTTTCATTAAGAGGGAGGCCTACGTGTACAATGTGACGATTATCTTTTGTTAACAGTCTTGGGAAAGAGTCTGTAGCATGTACTCACAGCAAAAGCATTAAGGACCGCAGGGAATTTAGCCTGACATTAACCCCAGAGGACCTCCGTCACCCAGCAAACAAACAG